ATGAGGGGAGGAGGAAGAGGAAAAGGAGGAGGAGGAGGAGGAGAGGGAGGAGGAGGAGGAGGAGGAGGAGGAGGAGGAGGAGGAGGAGGAGATGATGATGATGATGATGATGATGATGATGATGATGATGATGATGATGATGATGATGATGATGATGATGATGATGAGAGAGAAGGAGGAGGAGAAGAAGAAGAAGAAGAAGAAGAAGAAGAAGAAGAAGAAGAGAAGAAGAAGAGAAGAGAGAGAGAGAGAGAGAGAGAGAGAGTCATTCTTCCACCTCCTTGTAACAAATGACGTGGACCAGAAGATGAAAGAAGGAAATCACGGAAGAAAGAGGGGAGGGGGGAGGAGGGGGGGAGGGGGAGGAAAAGGCGCCATAAGGGGGGGGGACGGGAGGGAGACACAAGAAAGCGGAGGGAGGGAGAGACGGAAGGGAGAGAGGGAGAGACAAAGAAGAAGGGAGGGAGGGAGGAGGGTGGGAGAGACGAAAAGAGAGAGAGAGAGAGAGGGAGAGAGGGAGGGAGGAGAGGGAAAGTTTAATCAAAGTGATGAAATGAGAGAGGTAGGGAGGGAAAGGAAGAAAGGACAGAAGGAGAAAGGGAGGGAGAAGACGATCACCAAAATACCCTCCAGAGTTGGATATTCTTCAAACCCTCCTGCCCACCCACCAACCCACACCCACCCATCCATCCGCACACCCACCCATCACCAACCACCCACCCAATCCACCGCACATCCACCCACCCACACCCACCCCACCCACCAACCCACACCCACCCATCCACCAACCCACACCCACCCCATCCATCCGCACATCCACACACCACCAAAAGGCCCTCGCTCGGCCACGCTGAGACACGCAGCTCGCCACACGAAGCCGACCCCCCCCACCCCCCCCCCCACCCCTCCGCCATTTCTTTAACTGCACGCTTTATCCCAGCGCTTCTGACCCGCCCGGACCGGCTGACCCGACGCGGAAAGGTCACGCGAGAAGAAACCCAAATTAATACAGGTCAGTTGAGTGAGCTGGGTTGGCCTTCGTGGTCTGGAATGAATGAATGGACATCAACAACAACAACAAAACGACAACAACAACAATAACAACAACAACGACAACGACATCAACATCATCATCAACAACAACAATAACGACAATAACAACAACAATAACAACAACGACAACATCATCATCATCAATAACAACAACAACAACAACAATAACAACAACAATGACAACAGCAACAATAAATTCGCTGAAACCAGCGAATTTGAAACGAACGAACGAATAAAAAGAAATAATGGATCAATCAACAAAAACAAAATCTAAAAAGACAAATACAAATAAAAGATAAAAAAAAAACAATTACGAGGAACTCAAACGCGCATGACAAGGCTACTGTGACTACTGACAACATGACATTCGGAATGACAGCGCTGGCATCTGGCAACATCGAGATAGGTTTCGACAGTCTAGAAAAAAAAGAAATAGAAAAAAAAGAAAAAAGAAAAAAAAAAAAAAAAAAAAAAAAAACAAAAGGAAAAAAATGAAAAAAGGGAAAGAAAAAAAGAAAAAAAAAAAAGAAAAAAAAGAAATAGGAGAAATTAAAAAAAAAAATGAAAAATGAAAAAGAAGGAAAAGTTTAAATCAGTAACAGACAAGATTTTCATTATCATTTCGCCTTTCTGTCTAACAAAACTCGGCCGGTTTGTTAAAATTATGCGAGGACCGACCCAATGAATATTCGCATATTTGTCATGCACAGATAAAGAAATAAATGCTTGTCTATCAGTCTAGACATGCCCACCAACCGGGCAGATAGATAAAGGTATATCTCTCAGATAGATAAACATACATTTATTTATTTCTGGGTATATATATGTCCGTATTCATGAATCTTCATTGAGTAGGACCTTGGACAATTTCAACAAACCTAATAACAGCCATGATTTATGTTGGGAAAACTTTACCATTATATTCCTCCGTTGCAGATCATGGAGGGAACATACCTACATCTCCCTATTTGGACCACGTACATGAAATCATCTCGCGGCTGTTCACACTTTAAGCGGAGTGGTATGAACGGCTGGAACAACACGAACATGCTTTTGAAAACTAGTGAACATTCTACGCTGCGATAACTACTGTTTCGTCGTCTTGTTCATCATCGTCACCTCATTCTTGTTACGAACAAACCCCACAAACAAACGGTTTACTCGTCTGTGAAATAAAATTGGTTTCCGAGCCGTCTTATCGCCATTCGGGTTATTTACCATTCCCTTATTTCTCCAAAGGATGGAATTTCTCTTACTTTCCCCCTTGAGAGCTTTTATGCCTCACGTTCCCCGTCCCGAGCAGCGGCGTCCTCAGCGGCTCTCCAACGGCCCTTAGGAGAGGACGTCTGCACACCGCCTCAGACGACAGCCGGGCCTCGAACCGCAGGAGAATCCCGGAGCCAGAGGTATTCCCGCCCACAAAGTTTGCGCAGTACCGCCCACTCATGCATGAAGTTCCCCCCGTTGCCCGCGCGCCCGCAAAATGTTATTTTCGTAAACAACGCGAGAGCAACCTGCCGCGCCCGCCGGAGTGAGGCTCCACCGCCGGAGCATCCATATACATTATTCGGTCTCCAGGTGGCCGCCGATATTAGCGCGAGGGAGCGAGCACCTCTCCGGCCGGCCGAGGCGATATGACAACCGAACGTGGCGTTTCACCCCCGTAGGGTTTGATTCCGGCCCACGACCTCGCCTCCGGATAAATCCCCTCCCCTGCTTTCCCTCCCCCACTTCCCCCCCCCACTCGCTCCCCTCGCTCTCTGTCGCCCCCTCCGCCCTTCCCTCGCCTCCCGTACCTGCTCGACTTTCTGTGTGTGTGCATTCTTACATACACACAAACAGACACACACACACAGACACAAATACACATACATACGTATACATACATTCAATAAGCGTCTTCTGGCTAGGCCAACTCTCGTAGGAGGACGGGGGAGGGGAAGGGAAGAAGAGAGGAAAAAAAAACAGCGAGAGTAGGAAAGTAGAAAATAAAAAAGAGAGAAATACAAGTCAACGAGAGGAACGATTCTAAGAAAAAATAACTAGAAGCCAGCAAGAAAAAGGAAGACGATACGCGAGGAAGAACGCCAGTACTTTCCCCGAGCAAGCACCCCCAAAAAAAGGAAGAAAAAGATTCCCTGGTTTCCTTCACGGCGCCCTTGGGGAACCGCAGTAATGCCGGGCGTCCTGCGGTAAGTATTCCGGGACGCAGGAGAGAGAGTCCTCAGAACGGCGAGGATTCTGGCCTTATCCTTCTTCACCCGGGGCTTCCTGCAGCGACACACCGTGAGTGATAAAAAGGAAAATGGAAAAGGAAAGAAAAAAGAAGAGGGAAAATGTGTGTCTTACGGCCCCCGCGCATGTTTTTCAATTTTTTTTATCATTATTATCATTCAGTTCTGTCTTATTCCCTTTTTTTGTTGTTTGGCTTTTTTGCTGTTCCCTATTTTCTCTCATCTGTCCCCAATATCATCTTTTAAGTTATTTCGTTTACTCTCCTTTCTCCTATCACCTTAGACATATCCATCTACGTCACCCATTATCCATCACCTTTCTTAGCATCACCCTTATCTACCACCCTCGTCACTGCCACCCGTTTCCCTAGCACCCTCGCCATCCTCATCCACCCCCCTTTCACCCGTTCACCTTCCTCACCCATCACCCTCCCCTTTTTTTCACCCCAATCCCCCTCACCCACCTCCACCCTTCGTCATCCACCCCCCCCCCCTTTCCCTATCACCATTCCCGTCACCCCACCCTCACCCCCTCCCCTTCGACCCCTTCCTCCCCCCTACACCTTCGTCATCTCCCCCCTCCCCCCCCACCCCACCAGCAGTGCACGCCCTTCCGGCCTAATCCGACGTCCTACTCAGGCACTCTTAAGAAATAAATCTTCTTAACATAATGAGCTTTTAGATTATTCCTACCTTTCATATTTCACGCTGTACCTTCCCTCACGCATGCCTTCGTTCCGGCCCCCACCCCCACCCCCTCCCTCTCTCTCTCTCTCCCCTCCCTTCCCCACGACGCTGAGTCAACTTCCCCTCCCCTTCCCCTCTCCCTCCCTCTCAAGCCTGTCCCCTCTCTTCATCCTTCCTTTCTTCGTTCCCTCTCATGCCTCCCCCCCCCTTCCCCTACCCAAACCTCTTCCCTCCTTCCCTCTTGCCTTTACCTCCTCCCCTCACTCCCTTTCACTCCTGCCCTCTTTTCCCCTCACCTTTCCTTCTCTCCCTCTTTTAGTTCTTCCTATCCCTCCCACACACCCACCCTTTTCCCCAACTCCTTCTCCCCATACCCTCCCACATCCTCTCCCATCCACTCCTTTCCCAAATCCCTCTCCCACCCCTACCCCTCCCAACTCCATCCCCCACCCCCCCCCTCCCCCTCCTTTCCCCCCCCTTCCCCCCCCCTCCCCCCCCTCCATCTCCGCATGACGTGAGCCCCTCCCACCCCACCCTCAACCCCCCACACCCCCACCCCCCGTCCCCGAGGTCCTGCCGCCTGACGACCCCATGCATAATGCAAGCCTTACGGAGTGGTACTAATGTTAACACGACTCCCACGGCTGTTAGAAGTTTGGTCGCGTGTGTGACGGACGGGTTCGGTTCCGGGAAAGGCCGCTGAGGTTTCCGGGAGTCGCCGTGTTCGTCGGCCTTTGTTGGTGTGTGTGCGTGCGTGTGTGCGTGTGTGCGTGCGTGTGGGGGGGGGGGGTGATTGTGTGGGGTGGGTGGGGGAGGGTGATTGGTGGTGTGTGTGTGGTGGGGTGGGTGGGTGGGTGGATTGTGTGTGTGGGGGTGGGTGATTGTGTGTGGGGGTGGGTATTGTTGGGGGTGGGTGGGTGATTGTGATTGTGTGTGTGATTGTGTGTGTGTGTGTGTGTGTGTGTGTGTGTGTGGTGTGTGTGTGTGTTGTGTGTGTGTGTGGTGTGTGTGTGTGTGCGCGCGTGCGTGTGTGTACTATGTCTCCATGTATTATGCACAATGTATAAAGTATTATGTATATATGTACGTATGTATGTCGGTTAATATGTCTCATAATATATAGTGTTTACCTCCCCTACCTCCACCACTTCCACGCCCATCACCCTCCACCACCACCCCCAACCCTCCACCTCCAACCCCTGAACCCCAACCTCCAATCCCCATCACACCCTCCAACCCCTCACCTCCCCTCCCCCGTCCCCACCACCCCCCCACCCCCTACCCCCTGTACTTCCCATACCCCGAATCACGCTCACACCCCCCCAACCCCCCCCCGCCCCCCCACCGCGCCGAGTTTCCGCCGCGTTGCACGAAAATGTTGCACGCCGGCAAATCCATCGAGTTGGCGAGCAAAATTGGCCTCGTTTGTCCGACGTTCCTTCGCTGTCACCGAGACTCCGCGGGGCGCCCCTGGTCACGTGACCCTCGTTGTTGGCGATGCACACTTTTTTTCCTTGTTGCTGTTGCTGTTTTTTTGTTGTTGTTGCTGTTGCTGTTTTTTGTTGTTGTTGCTGTTGCTGTTTTTTGTTGTTGTCGATGCACACTTTTTTCTTCTTGTTGTTAGTGTTTGCTGTGTTGTTGTTGTTGTTGCTGTTTTTTTGTTGTTGGTGTTGCTGTTTTTTGTTGTTGTTGGTGTTGCTGTTTTTTGTTGTTGTTGCTGCTTTTTGTTGTTGCTGTTTTTGTTTTGTTGTTCTGTTTTTTGTTGTTACTGTTGCTGTTTTTTTGTTGTTGTTGCTGTTTTTTGTTGTTGCTGTTTTTTGTTGTTGTTGCTGTTTTTTGTTGTTGTTGCTGTTGCTGTTTTCGTTATTGTTGCTGTTGCTGTTTTTGTTTGTTTTGTTGTTGTTGTTTTTTTCGTTGTTGTTACCGATGCGCGCCGGATTTTGCTGTTGTTGTTATTGTGGCCAGTGCACTCCAAAATTATCCTGCTTGTTGTTGATGCTTGTTTTTTTGTTTGCTTGTTAGGGCTCCTCCTGTTGTTCTGTTATTGTCCTGTTGTTACTGGTGGTGATGATGGTGCCGCCGCCGCTGTGGTAATCATAAACGCAATACTGTTATGGCGTCGTTATTATTGCCGTTGTTGCAGGCTGTGCAAGGGGGCGAAGCGGCAAAGAATCCCGTGACACGTTACTGACATGTGAAATTTATTTGGGGCAGAGCATTTCACCTGCAATGGAGCTGAGGGTCGGAAAGGCGGTGAAGGGTGGCCGGGTGTGGAGGGAGGGAGGGAGTGGGGAGGGGAGGGAGGGAGGGAGGGAGGGAAGAGGGAAAGGAAGGAGAGAGGGAGGGAAGGAAGGAAGGAGGAAGGAAGGAGGGAGGAGGGGAGGGAGGGAGGGAGGGAGGGAGGAGGAGGGGAGGGAGGGAGGGAGAGGGAGGGAGGGAGGGAGGGAGGGGAGGAAGGAAGGAGGGAGGAAGGGGGACAGTAAAGGAAGGAGAGGACAGGAGGGAGGGGGGATGGGTGGGTGGGGGGGAGATGTTGGGTGGGTGGGTGAGTCGACGGAAAGAAAAATGTGTATATGATCGATGCAAGGACAGTTCCGGACGTGGACAGCGCTTTCACCCACACCGATGACAAGACCTTCCTCCTGACATGAACATTCCACATTTCATTACGTACAAGTTTATCCTGGTTCAGTTTTCCCTCCTAAGACATGACTTAGTCCATCTGACATGACTAAATCCTTGTCCCATTCTCTACTTCCCTTGCTCTCTTCCCTCTCCCTTTTCTCTCCATACTTCACCCCCTTTCATTCCCCTCTCCTACCCTCCTCACCTCCCCCACAGATCTCCCCAACCTTCACGTACCTTACCCCCTCCTTCTAAACCTCCCCCCCCCAATCTCCTGTCCTCGCCGGCCCGCCCCCCCCCTACGGACATCTGGATCTCCCCCTATCCCCCTAACCCCCTTTCACGCCCGCCCTCCCCTCTTTTCTCCCCCTATAACCTTTCGTCATCCCCCTCCCCCATACCTCCCCCAATCCCATCCCCCTTTCCCCCATCCCCCCTTCCGCCTCTCCCCCTCCCCTCTCTTACCTCCCCTTATAACCCCCTTTCGCCCCTCCAAACTCCCCCATCCCCCCTAACCCCCTTACGCTGACCGCCCCCCCTCCATACCTCTATCTATCCCCCTAACCCCTTTCCCCCCCCCAATCCCCCCTACCCCTTTCCCCCCTTCTTATCCTCCCATCCCCCCTACCCCCTTTCGCCATCCCTCCTGCCTCCGGACTGCCCCTATCCCCATACCTCCCTTACTCCTACCTCCCCCCCCTCCATACTCCCCAATCCTCCCAATCCCCTTCGCCTCCCCCTCCCCCTCCCCCTCCCCCCTCCAAGGCGACAATCCTCCAAGGCGCATGACCTCCAACGAGCGGGGGGGAAAAAGAGTCCCATTTCCTTCGTATTTCCGCGCGTCAAAGCCATGCTGTGCGCGGGTGGGGGGGGGGGGTTGGCCGTTGTCTGCGGGCGCACT